GGGGGGGGGGGGTGGCAGAACCGTACCAACCAATTTACAGTAAGAACACAAAAACATTGAAAATATCGAGGTCGTCTTCTTTTACATCTTAATTTTAAAATGATTAAGTATTTGGAATTTAACACTTTTAAAAAAGTGTCATGAATATTTTTATTAGTTTTATCAGTTGCAACAATTCAAAATTACAAAAGTAAGAGAAAGAAAAAATATTTTCTTTGTTTTCGCAGTATATCTTTTGTATGTTAAATGTTTCAATAGAATTTAGCGCCAGAATGGAGATTGTTTCAACAGAATTTAGCGTCAGAATGGAGATTGTTTTAATAAAATTTAGCGCCTGAATGGAGATGGTTTCAATAAAATTTAGCGCCAGAATGGAGATGGTTCAATAAAAAAATAAGAATTTGTACAGACGGGCTAACTTCACTATACAATTGGTGTTCGTGAAAAGTGAAAAAAGCGGACCAAAAGACGTTTTTTTTCAACCTTTTAATAAAAAACGTTTCTTAAGACTTATAATTTGTAACTTTTTACTATTGATACAGGATTACCACCAAAATATGAGACTTCAGAAACGACTGTATTCATGATTTTCTACAACTTTTTTGCTGTTGCCAAATTATTAAATAAACTACGTAAAAATTTATTTCAAGACGCAAAACTTAATTCAAACTTGGGATCGTCATATTCAACGAGGTTGAAGTCGTCTTTATATATTCATCCTTTGTAGATTTTCAAGGTTATAATATGGTTACTTATAACAAAATATTTAGAAAAATAAAAAAATAAAAAAACTGAACAAAGACGCCGTTATTTTTTAGTTTATTTAACATACTTTTTTCTATTATTTCTATTTGTATGCAGTCATGTACAGTTTCTGTTTTTCCGCTCAATCCTATTTCTAAAATCGTTTATTTTGAACAAATTTCATCAATCCTAGTATTTTCTTCAATTGATTTCATTAATTTTTAAAAATTTATTTTATATTTCTAGAAAACTAATTTTGTGAATTTAAAATGATTTGAAAAATTTCTTGTATTTGTTCCGACAGGGTTTATATTTCAACTTACAAAAACTATGATTTATGAACTTGAGGTTTTAAACTTTAAGGAGACGGATAAAAAGTTTTAACTTTTAAGGGGTTAGAAGTTAATATATTTAAGTTTGTAAAAGTTGGGGTTTATAGGGACAATTTTGTTTGTTAAATCGAATTTTTGTTCATATTAACGTAAAAGTAACTATAACAACGTATATCCTGTCTGTGCCGACAAAAGTCTAGTCATTTATTAGTTTATAATAGAATTAGAGATAGGCATACATATTGTCTAACAATTAGAGATGGGCATACATATTGTCCAACAATTAGAGATGGGCATACATGTTGTCCTACAATTAGAGATGCGCATACATATTGCCCAACAATTAGAGATGGGCATATATATTGTCCAACAATTAGAGATGGGCATTCATACTGTCCAACAATTAGAGATGGGCATACATATTGTCTAACAATTAGAGTTGGGCATACACATTGTCCAACAATTAAAGATGGGCATACACATTGTTCAACAATTAGAGATGGGCATACACATTGTCCAACAATTAGAGATGGTAATAAACATTGTCCAACAATTAGAGATGGGCTTACATATTGTCCAACAATTAGTGATGGGCATATATATTGTCCAACAATTAGAGATGGGCATTCATATTGTCCAACAATTAGAGATGGGCATACATATTGTCCAACAATTAGAGTTGGGCATACACATTGTCCAACAATTAGAGATGGGCATATTTTTTTTGTGAACGGTTAATATTTTTCAAAAAGAACGAAATTTTTCATGAACAATGGTGTCAAACAGAAGAATTAACGAACGATAAACGAACAAATTGAATCGTAAAGAGAAATAAATTTTTTCTTTTTTTAAACTATCGAAAAAACACAAACGATTCAAATATTTAACGATCATGGATCCGTCATTAATGTATTAAATAAAACACTGTTAAAAAACCCTAGTAATTTGTTTATAAAATCTAACTTTTTTGTTCAAAGTTACGATTTTTTTCTCCAAAATTACGGAAATTTGATTCGAAATTACGAAGGGAATAATAATTGCGTAAAAACATAACCTTTTATCATTTTCCTAACTTCGACCAACATTGTTTTAATTTCTAAGATGCTTTCGGTGGTAGATTTTTAAAAAAAATGTTAGATTTCTTTTCCATTTCGATCATATAAAAGTTGTATTAGAAAAATTATAGCAAAGATTATGCTTAATTTAGACAGACTTAGTACGAAGTAATTATGTTTATAAACACATTAATAAAATCAAGTATGAGGGAAAGTGAAAGTTTTATGTTGTGTAAAAAATGTTTAAAATCAAGTCTGAAACTTTAGTTCCCGGGAGAATGGGGGGGATGATTATGGAACACTTAAAGGAACTGTTAAGGTACAATGAAAGGGGGTATAGACTGAAGCCTAAACATTTTAGGAGTTTATCGCGACCAATATTAGTTTTATCTGATCTCCCTGTCTCGTGAAATTGGGTTCGAAAACAGAAATTTCGATCATTTTCACAAAATGAATGTGTAAATTCACCTCTGTTCCATCTTCCTCTAGTACTATATACACTTCAGCATAGGTTTCATACTCAAACCTCTCCTTCCCTACAAATATCAAATGTTTAGCACAAAATAATAAATGAAATTATCTTTTTTCTTATTTATTAAAATAAAGTTTTAAAATTTGAATAATAGAAAAAACAAATCTACACAAATTAGTTATTAAATAATTTCCGTCTTGTTGTTTGGGGGAATCATGGGTCTCTAATGTTGTGCAAAAGGTATTAAACTAGTCAACTATACGATAAAGGTATTAAACTAGTCAACTATACGATAAAGTTAAATTTTTACCTTTTTGTATTAATTCTTGCAAGGAGGCAGCCATCACTCCTTTTCTGATGAATAATTAGGCTACATGGATTTTTTGCAAAAAAAATCGCATTTAAAAGTAAATTATTTAACTATTTAATTAGTACTATTACCGATTTTTTGTGTGAATATTTTTACCTTTGAGTATTAACCCATTATAGTGACGAGACGGTCAATTTTGACCGGGTAAGGTTTTTATTTTTTAGCGCCTTCATTTTTAAACCAAATTTCGTCCTGTTTCATTCCCGCCCTTCCATTAGATATGCCGAGTATCGCCTATAGGTTGCAGGCATGGTACAGGTCGATAGGGTGATAGAGCAGCTAGAAACAATTGCGAGAGATTCAAATTCAGAAACCTCCATTTCCAACAGATATAAATTTGTGAAAAATTGTTTTCAAAATTTTCTTTATTTCTATGGAAAGTTTGCATTTGATGTTAGTTCTATGCCATGCTACGTTCAGTGAAACCGCCCGGTCAATTTTGTCCGAGCCGAGCCAGACAAAATTGACCGTTTCCTGCTGCAGACGGTCAAAATTGACCGGGCGGTCAATTTTGACCGATGCCGAGACGGACAAAATTGGCCGGGTTTTGTATCTCCACAACCCTTCATTGAAAAAAATGAAACTTTAGATCTACTCTATGGACAGTATAATGAGTTAACACTGTGAATTTCAGCAAGATCAGAAAGAATTATTTGTCTCGTCACTAATGGGTTAAACAATTGTGATTCAACTGTTTCAAATGTTATAACAAAATATATGAGAATTTTATCAAACTATATATTTGTACTGAGGAGCCTCTTTAGACCATGTTGCCTCCTTTTTATTTTTGCCTGAGAATTCGTAATCTGTCGGTGATTTTAAAAGGTCTTTTCCCCCTCGCCACCTTACAGTACAGAACTTTCTTTTTAATCTATTTTATCTATTTATGCAACTGTCTTGTGTTATCATGCGGTACAATATGTTGTTTTGACCGGGGTTTTTACTCTTTTCGTTTATTACGTTCGTGATGAAAAATTTTGAATTTAAACCGACAAGAAGCAAAAAATTTTAAATCACAACAAAAAACATAATTTTCCAAATGATAACACAAGACAGTTGGATATATAAATCTATTCAATTCAAGTTTCATACAAATGTACGATTTTTTAATAAAATCCGCGAAATAAAAAGGGAAACCTGCTTTTCCGGCCTAAAATATTACTTATTTGTTTCGGAACAAATAAGAAACGTTTTATACCCATGATTATGAAATTGTGAGTAAAAATGCAGGATATAAATTCTCTCAAAATTGAATAGAATAAATAAGGTCCCATACAGCTACCTTGAAGGACACCATTTTGAATTTTACACGCGCTAAAACTAATGAAAATGCTGAAGATTTTACTACATGTTTTACTAAAATAAAAGATTTTATAGATTTGTAATAAATATTCAGAATTTAATCATTTATCTATAATCTTAAAAAGGAAAAATCTAATTTAGTTTTTGAATAGCTCCCCCCCCCCTCTTCCATTGCATCCTGCAAGTTAAAATATTGTTGCAATTTTAATCTTTACATCAATGTAACAAATTAATTCCATTTATTAATAAGATAAAAAATACTGTTTGTAAACAGAATCAATTACCAAAACTGTTTTTCTTTATAAAAACGTTGAAAATCTCTGCTGAAGACAAAGTTATGATAACAAATTAAGATGGACAAATAAAAAATAAAAATATATACATAAAAAGAATGTTTTCCAGCGTTTAATTTCCGTCCTTCTGCGGTAATTTTTGAGGAGGGCTCGGCCTAGATCTCTCCGCGGAATAAAGGTTGATGTTTATTTATTTATTTACTAAGCTAAGTGCCTTAAGTTAAGTTTTCTGTAAGTTATAGAAAATGCTATTATAAAGTCAACTGGTCAAATTCTTGGTATAGCAACAATAGAAAACTTAGGATTCTGCACTGGTCCAAAACTTAAAATTTGCACAAATTCTATAAATTTTATCAAAACTAGGAATATTTGAAATATTGGAAATTTTAGTCTCATGCATACGACATACTTTTATAGAGATTAACTTCTTTATTAAAGGCACATCAAACAAAGATATATAAAAAAATCTCAAAAAATATTCATGAAAAAAGATTTGAAACCCAAATAAAATGAGTTGTTAAGACTAAACCATCTTATTCCGTTTCGCATTCCCTTAAAAAAAACAATATTTTGGTTTTCCACAATTTTTATTAAATCCCGCTGGCGCTAATCTAAATACATATTAATGCAGGTACATGTTAAAACCACTTCTTAACAAAGAAATGTCATTTATCTCAGAAAAAAGGTTTATAATATAGATATTATAAAACAAAAGCATAAAAACTATAAAAAAGTCTTTTTTTTTTTCTTTAAAAACACAATTTGATGTAAAGCAATCAATGTTTGTTCAAAAAGTTGCGTAAGCTATTTCTAATTTTGTTTGCAAAATTATTTGTGCAAAGTTACAATCAAGTTACAATCAAGTTACTATGACTACAATGAATTGTAAACCTGTTTAAAGATGGATGGGGTTGAATAAAGTTTTCATTTGGAATTCACCAAACTTAGTTAGGAAACAATGTACAATTGTACATTGTACATTGTACATTGTACATTGTACATTGTACATTGTGCATTGTACATTGTACATTGTACATTGTACATTGTACATTGTACATTGTGCATTGTGCATTGTACATTGTACATTGTGGGGGAGCTAAAATGTCTTGATATTTTCTTTAAAACTGCTCAATGATAAGTACCGATGCCTTTCAGGGCGGTTTCTTCTCGTCTTTAAAAGGGTTCTGTGAAAGCTTCATGTAACATTTATGTTCAATATAAAAAGCATAATTTAATTCAATAAATGCAGAAGGGGGCTTCAAACAAAAACATAAATCTAATAACTTTTATTTAACTTTATGAACATTAAAAACTGTTTTTAAGTGTAGAGCCATAGTTTTTGGAAAAATAACCGTTTTTTTTTTACAATATTTCGGCAAGAAATTGCATGTTAATGATTGACTTTCCAATTTATTTCGATAAAAAGATAAAAGGAGTCTTATCAAATAAGATTTAAATTTCTTAATGCACTAAAAGAAAAAAGGAGTCTTTGCCACTAGCTAATATATTTCTTTACAACTTTGTTTTAATGACCTTAGGTATTTAAGATCAAATAATCTAAGTTTGAAATATCAAAGGTGTTCACCATAAGGCTGCAAAGAGATAGGAATTAGAAAATTTGAGTATGTGGCAAAGACTCAATTCTTTTACTTTTCTATGCTAAGCTTTTACTTTTCTTGTAAAGCTTTATTTGACATTTTTTTCTATCTTCATGCAATAAATGTCTTTGCAAGCAAACAATGGTTCTCTAGAGATTACTTAAAGTCTAATTAAAATTTTTATCTTTAGTCTATTTGTTGATGTAACCAAGAATGTAATGCAAGGAAAGTTAAATGCAGTTGAGTATACTCTGCAGTGTACATATTAAAACCAGTTCTCTCTGGGCGGAATTTGTGAAAAAGAAAAGATGCCTCAGTGTTCGTTTAGTATCCGAGGAGGTTAAAAGCATTGCATTTTGATAATTTTGATAATTCACATAATAGTTTCCTAGGACCAGAATATTTCATTGATTTTTTATGTGAAAGATGGATCCCATGTCAGGCTTCAACATCCGTCTTATGTTTACATTATCGCCCAGAGATCCCAGAGACAGTACACTGCAGTACAAAAGATGCGTACACATCTGAAATAACTTTCCTTGCAATAAATCCTTGACATAACCAAGAGATTACTGGTTTAAATACATAATAAATATTTTGGACAAAAACAACTGCACATATGGAAACTGAATTTTATATAAATGATATGACAATTTTAAAGGACAGTTCCGACTTTAAAGTGTATCAAAACCTCGTAAGATTTAAAGTGAAAAAACGGGTTCTCTCATTAAACTTACAATTTAATTCATTCGTGCGAAAAGTGCTATAGAATGTTATAAAACTTTTAGAAACTTTTCCGTTCTTTTTCTCTAAAAGATATTTAGAAAATCTTTTATATTTTCTATTAATTGGAAATGTTATAAATATCCCAATAGTTTATTAATTATTTATTGACCATATAATCAAAGAATAAAATCAGCTTATCTCCGGCCGCAAACAAGGAAATTAAACCAGGAATATCTATATCTTAGTTTATAATAGTGCCAAGAAAAATACAACAGAAAAATCCATATATTATTTAATAAAACGACACACCCATATCTTTTTAGGAGCCAAGGTAAATACAACAGGAACCTCATATATCTTAGATTAAAAAGAATTGCCAAGGAAAAAACACAAGGAATCCCCATATCGTAGTTTATAAGAAAGTGCCAAAGAAAATACAACAGGAGTCCCCATAACGTTGTTGATAAAAGTATACTGAATCTGTTTACATTTCTACCACATAATGCAGTACACTTTTATGTAAACAATGAAATAGACATTCCAGGCGCATTTTATTTGGCTGCAATCAACATTTAAAATTAACAAATCTTTACTTAATAAAAACTCAGTTTAAAAATAACTGAAACCCTTATTAATTGTTTCAAATCTTCTTTGAACTTTGCAACCTAATGGTGTACACCTTTGATATTTGAAACGCTGACTATTTAATAGAATTCATCAAAGGTCTTCGAATTCAGGTTGTAAAGATGTAAGGAATAGACAATTTGAGTATGAGGAGAGTAATCACTTTTTATCAAATATTTAAAGAAAAATTCTGTTTTGCCTCAAGCACTGTAACCAGATCATCTGAGCAGCATGAATCTATCGTCTCAGCTCTCATCAATACAGGCCTGAAAACCAAACTTATTGGCTTGGGTAGATATAAAGGGATGGCGTGGGGGGATATAAAGAGATTGGGTGGGGGGATATAAATGGATTTGGGGGATTTAAAGGAATAAGGGGGATATAAAGAGATTGGGGGGATTTACAGGAATGAGCAGGTTATAAAGACATTTAGGGTGGGAGAATATAAAGGGTTTGGAAGATGTAAATGGATTGGGGGGAATATAAAAGGGATTGGGAGATGTAAAGGGATTGGGGGAATATAAAGGGATTGAGGGATATAAAGGGATTGGGGGGAATATAAAGGGATGGGGGATATAAATGGATTGGGAGATATAAAGGGATTGGAGATGGAGGGTATATAAAGAGATTAGAAGGGATATAAAGGGATATTGCTCATTTCTAGCTTGAAAAACAACTTATTAGGTGAAATGTGTCTGTGTACACTGCACTATCTCAGGAATATGCGATGTTGTTATAGAGCAAATAGTTTAAACTAGGTGAAATGTGTCTGTGTACACGGCACTATTCCTTTGATTCCTGTTCATTTGACTACATTAAATGATGACTGCTTTATGTCATAAAGCCGTCTTCCTACATCCATATTTCTATGGGTCTCATCGTGAAAAATGTTTTTAACCTGTTCCGAGTCATTCCCGACATCTTGTTTTGTCCTGGCTTATTCATCAAGAATCATCTAAAATTTGTATTTTATTGAAATTGAAAAATTTTAACTATAAAATTTTTAGTATCGTAAATGTCACAGACAATAAGTGGTGAAATCGGTACATTGAAAAAAATTGTTTTTTTTTTCGATTCGATACTTTGGACAGTCAGATTGAAAAATTTGCTCGAAATAAAATAGTTTTTAATGTTTTGAAAATCCACCTGTAAAACCAAAGAAATCCGCAAATAAAAATGTAAGAATGAAAAAGACCTTAACATTATTAAGATCAAGCATCAGAAACCGAAATATTTATGTTCAAACCCCAACTTTTGTCATAAGCAGGTTTACATGAACAATTACCAATAAAAAATTTAAACTCGGGTTTGTTCTGTATAAAGTTGAATAAAAGTTCCCACCACTTGCACTAGTTAAATTTTTTTTTAGGTTATTGTGTATTGGCTGAAGAGTTCCCACCACTAGTTAAATTTTTTTAGGTTATTGTGTATTGGCTGAAGAGGAAAACAAGCTAGAAGTATAATAAACTCAATAAACATGATTCATTGCCAAGAAATACGTACAGATTTATTAAACTGTGGAGGGGGGCACAATGGGGTATTGGAGAGAGAGGGGGGAGGGGCATCAATATTAAGTTTACACCATATACCTCTTATTCGAGTCAAATAAGGCTCGGTCGCAATACGTATGCGGGCTGCCGACGACGCAACATCTTTCAATAATGGTTGTTAGAATTTATTCATAAATCTAGATTATACTCATTATCCTGAATCTGTTGTAATTTTGTATAAAAAGCTTTAAAGTATATGTTTTACTCGTCGTAACAAAGACGACATTATAAATACATGGCGGGTATACAGGATCCATTCAAGGATAAGTGTATAAACGGGAAAAGTAATTATAAATTGAAATCGTTATAAATCATTGCAAGGTACATTGATATAAATGAAATAATTATCAGAATATCTTAATTTTGTTCATTCTCAACATGAAACACATGACATATGCATTTTAAGAGGTGTAATGTGACAAAAACCAGTCCCCCCCTGACCTTTTAAAATACCTTACCGTGGGGGGGGGGGAGGGGGGTAGGCTTAGGGTGACATTTTCCCATTTCTGTCATCAAATTTAGTGTCGTCATCAAAAAGCTTAGACAAAACAAATTTAATGTAATAATGCTTATTTGATTAATACACTTACCCGATGTCTATTGTTTGAAACCATTTTTCTAACTTTTTCTGAAAAATATATTTTTTTTTGTTGTAAAATATGTTTATTTATGCAGCTGCAAAAAGGCGGTTACAACAGCAATTAACGGAAATTCTTAAAAGTAATTATTGCTATATTACCGCATAGGAAAATATACATTAATCTTAAACTTAACCTCAAAAACTTATATAATCTTGGTGCCTGTTTTATGTGAACACTCTCACACAAATCTTTTGCAAATTTCTCCTTTTAACCTTAAGCTAGAAACAAGCAAGTTGCATTTTTAGAATGAATATATCTAGAGCTACAAAAAGATATACATGAGTTGGTGAGATAAAACCAAGGGGCAAGGAGATGCGACACTTTAAAGTTGAGGTTGTCTAAAATTTGATAACAATTTTTAGAGTTGTTTATATCTTAGTGAGGGGCTTTCACAATTGTATTCTTTAAATCGTTATTCGATCAATTAACGATCAATAAAAGATCAATAAACGATCAAAAAACGATCTATAAACGATCAATAAACGATCAATAAAGTCACTTTACAGAATAAACCAGAGATCAAAATAGAAAATAATCAAAATCTAAAGAGAAAAGTATGTATATCTTGCATTTATAATTTGACAAAGCATTGTGAATCAGACATTCCATACTATTGAGGCTACTTAAAATTACGGCTGCTACAAAGATGAGGTTTACCTGTTCTCATTCAAGAGATGAATTTTAAATTTAGGAGTTTATTTTGTACAAATTGAAAACTTGAATGATGTAATTTTCTAAGATTAATGTCATCAAATGCTTCAAACTAAATTCATTTCTAAATATCAAAGATAAAGATTTTTAGTTGAATTTTCAACATTTATTTTTGCCCCAGGAAGACTCATAAAACTGTAGAATGGAAGACGACAATTAGGCAATTTGATGTTATGATTATGAAGTACACAGTTAATTTTACTAGTTGCTGAGTTTTTGCCAACAACTCTGACTTCTTTGCAACCCGTTGTAGTAGACCTTTGATATTTCATACTAGGAATTATGTTACATGAAATTGTTTGAAATATCAAGGTTTACACAATCATATCGCAAAGATATATGGATAAGAAAATATGAGTTTGTGGCAAAAACTCGGTTTCTTTAACAGAATATTTTTTTATTTTAAATATTTTTTTTTTCTCTGACATTTTGATATAATACATTATGCTTAAATACTAAAGATGATAGAAAACCTACCAACAATGTTGCAGAATTTTCAGCAAAATTTATCATAACGCGGGAAAAGAAAAAAGTTGTAACGAAAAGATTTAGTTTTTATTGCAGTGAGAACCAGAATACTTTGGAATAGAAAGACGATCTTTAGACTCGATTTACGACTTTTAATAGTCCAAAGAACATGATATACTACTAGTGTTCGGTATAAACCAGGTGGGCTCGAACTTAGCTAACTGATTGTGTGTATTAGCCTGAGTGTACGATTAAGACAGCTTATTGATATGGGATATCTAGAGGTTATGGCCTATTCATACAGTACAAACATCAAATATGCAGTACGCTTTCAGGGTACAAGTACGTATGGGAAGGTTTTGTATCTTAAATTTTACATAGTTTTCTCCAGAGCCCAACACTTAAGACAGGGCATCGTTATAAAAACCAGTTTTGAAACCCGGGTTTCACAAATTGGGTCAAGCAGTTTTGTAGATATCAATATTTTTGTTATGAAATATTATATTATTTAGTTTCTTTATATTCTCCTCTTTTTAGAATCTCTTAAATTAAAATCTACTTAAATGGTAAGACCCCGAAATGGAAGCTTAGGAGGTTCAATCANCCCTAGAAAATTAAAGAGACGTCCCTGGAAAACCCCTCTTGAAAAATGAGTAGCTAAAGAAGAGAAGGCAACTTAGAGCCATTAATTTAAATTTTAAGAATAGATGGAAAATTTTGCTTGCCATTGGCCCGATTAAATTACTCAAAATGAATAATTTTATAAAAATTCAAATCTTGGTATCAAAGATTCCCCCGTCCGCCCCCAGCTGGTCAGGGGTTTGACACAAAAAGAACCAAATGCCATGTAAAAATTTCCAGGGGGAGGGGATTTATATACATATTTAAAATGTGCACCCCCCCCCCCCTCCTAAAGTCCTCTTCCTTCCTTCCATTTCCATTGCATTTCAGTGTTAAAGCTTTTTAAAAATATTCTATTTATTTGGATCACCCTGTAATTGTCCTTTGGTCTTAAAAATTACTGTCATGAAAAATGAATTAGAATTAATGTTAAACATTTGAGGGTACCCATCTTAATCTGACATTCCACTCTTATAATAGAGGACCAATTGTATATAAGGGACAAAAAATGATTTTCAGAAATCCCCAGAAGTACTGGAGTACATGGCCTGTACAATTAGAAAAGATTAGCGTGCATCATCACTCTATATACTATAACCTCGTTGTATAAACTGAATAAGTGACTTAATAAGATACAATAAAAGTTATTTGCTTTATAACAACATCAAATATACTTAATTGTTGCTTTAACATCGTCCTACAGTGAAACCCTTAATAACGAATACATCGAAAGAATTCATCAAATGTCGTATTCTTCACTTTCTGATAATTGTATGTTGCAGATGCTTAGTTTTTAATTAAATGATTATAAGGAAATCTTTAAAATTGTTCCCGCATATTCATGGCTATTTATTTATTTTCGCAAATACTGAAATTTGCGTAGTGTAGCATAAAAGACGACATTTGATAAATTCTTCCGATGTATTCGTTATTAAGAGTTTCACTGTAGTATTCTAGAGTATTATGTGTTTCCCTGTATCAGCAGTCATCACTGCAAAACATGTAAAATATCAATATATTCTCACACCAGCAGACAAGTTTTTCTCTGTGCATGTCAATATATGATAAACATTCTTCATAAATTCATCATTTAGGTTTTTAATATACTGACAAAACCTTTCTGTTGAAGAAAATCATTTGTCAAAATTATAAACATTGATATCTAATTCATACTAGATCAGTCAAAGCTTTTAATCGGACATTGTAATTTTTGCTTGGGAGGGTCACTTGAAATTACGCTTACAGTCCCTTTAAGATTTAATTTTAAACTACAGGTAAAGTAAACCTTGTTTTACTTCTGAATGTGGAGGTTTTTCTTTACTATAAATTAAGTAATAAGCACAAAATTAAAATATGCCGAAAAGATAATTATAAAACCCCTGATTTACAGAAAATTTTTCTTTTACAAAATTGAAAAAATATATTAAACTTTTAAAGACTTCTCGTTTGAAATTGCGTAAACAAATCCTTTAAAGCTAAGATGTCAATTTGTATTTCTAAGAAGGTAAGAAAAATATTTGATTTTTAAGAAAAGAGTTATTTTGGGATCTACACAATTTTACTCTGTCGTAACTTTACAATTAAAGAGAGAAAAAAAGCTGAAAACTTTTTAATTGACAAACTAATCTTTTACTAGTTAATTTTGGAGATTTGACCAATAAAAGACAGGATTTTTCAACCTCAACCAATTAGAACTAAGTATTTCAGCGGATTGGAATCTAACAGACTAAGTTGTTGAAATCAAAAGTTTAGGTTATCGAGCAAAGATCATGTGGCTTTGTTTTATCTCATCGGCTCTGCACTCTTTAGTTTAGTATTTTGATATTTTTCTTTATTAATTCTAAGAAAATAACATGATCCATCTTTGAACTTTTCAAAATATCAATATCAAGATGTTTTTCGTCCTAAGTTTTAGAAATAAATATCAAAAAGTGGAACAAAGTTGGCATCAAGGACACATTTTTAGAATTAAATCAGCGACAAAAAGCAAATTTTTTTGTTGTTGAATTTTTAAAAATTTGCGTTAGAAGTTTACGACGTGGACTGCATTAACTTAATTTCCAAGCTATACATGATGTCCCAGGAAACATGACAGTTTAGAGACGACTTGAAGGTCGTCTTTGGTCTTGAAAATTTACCGCATCATTCATAAAACAATTTGCCAATTTAAGATGTAGGCCTCTTGAATTAATAAATGGTTTTTTTTCTCTCAAAAATTACAGTTTTGATTTCGACAACGATCTATGATCAACGACGATATTCAAGTCATCTTTCAACTGTCATGTTTCGTGGGACAAAAACTGTATTCAAGTTTTTGTGCAGATCAAAGACGATTGAAAAGAAAAGTCGTCTTTTCATTTCAATCTTTATTCGGCCAACTTTTAGATAAACCCTTTTCCTATTTATATACATTGAGTTTACAAACGATCTGTTTTGTTTGCAATAAAATAGTGTAAAAGTGAGGAATCCATTAAAATGAATTGCACAATATATATTTTACCACCTTTTAGCAACCATCATTGACTTTTATGCCTCCACCAATAGCTGGATGCTATTCTACAGGGTGTCCCACGAAACATGAAAGTTGGTGAATAGTTTAAAATGTCTTCTTCCATAATAGGTCATGTTGTTTGATGCCAAAGAGAATAATAATAAATATTTTATGGCATCCATATTATAGTAAAATTGATTTCTAGGTAAAATGTATTTGAGTTTTTAAAACTAAATAAGCTGCAAAAAGTTTTTAATATCTGATACAGCACATGGAAGAAGACATACAAAACTATTACAGTGTACATTGAGAACCTGAAAATTGTCGAATACGAAGACACCATATAAATAATAATTAAGTGTATTTGATGCGGTTACAAAGCAAAAAGTTTTTTGCTACAGCTAAAAAATCAACTTATTAAATGGTTACAAAATACAGTTAGGACTGTGGTTTCTTTACATACTACAGTTAGGACTGCGGTTTCTAAACACACTACAGTTACAACTGTGATTTCTTTACATACTACAGTTAGGACTGCGATTTCTTTACATACTACAGTAAGGACTGTGGTTTCTTTACATACTAGATTTAGGACTGCGGTTTCTTTACATACTAGAGTTAGGACTGATATTTCTTTACAAACTACAGTTAGAACTGTGGTTTCTTTACAAACTAGAGTTAGGACTGCGGTTTCTTTACA